TTTAAAGCGATTAGTTGAGTTCACCTAAAGTAAGTGCCGATCTCTCCCTCATTAGCATAAGAAGTTAATCGTGTTTTTGAATCTGACACTATGCTGACACATAGGCATTTGTAGCTCCGCCCTTTTTTGAAAAGAGTTTTCCAGTACTAGGTTGCAGCTGGAAGGACATCCGCTGTGTAAAACATATCTTGGATAAGCTGGCGGTTCATTCCGTTGTGGTGATTCCTGATTAATAAAGGGACTAAGTGTAACGAAGTTAGGTTTTTCATTGTGAATTCTCCTGAATTATGCAGCAGTTATGTGTATTTTATAATGTAAAGGCCCTCATGTGGTTTATTTAGAGTTCTGCAGACATACAAGTTAGACAGGAAGTGACGTAACACAGCAAGCATTTAGTTTTAGAATGTCCTGCTTATGAAAGAGAGAGTTAATCTAAAGGTGAGGTAATTTCTTTAAAAGTCTTGCAAGGAAATGGGCTTAGACAATAAAGAATTCATTAAATGTTAATGAAAAATTTAAGAATAGAACTTAGAGTTTTAAAATTAATTTATTAATTTTTAAATTATATATATATATATATATATATATATATATATATATATATATATATATATATATATATATAAGTTTAAGCTTGAGTGTTTTCTTTCTACCACAATTATGCACAATCAACACTTTAGATCAGTAGGTGGCAGTAATGTACCTATTTGTTGGTTTGCCAAACCGCCATAAAACACTAGTAGAAGAGGAAGAAGAAGACAGCCATGCTGTAGGTAGGTGTTTTTCATGCTCTGTCTTGATTGATCAATATCAACTTTAAAAAAGAAGAGATTTCGCACATTTAGTTTATAATTTGGTTTTATTATCATTTAGCATTCAGTGTAGAGTAGTGATATGTACTTTCTTTTAAGCTGAATAGCTTTTATAATGTCTACTGGATTGTGCTCTTTAGCAAGGCCATGCGGTTGATTTGATTTTCTATTTTATTTAGAGGTTGTATGTCTGCAGTAAGCCAACCACCTAAAAGGACTGTATTGTTTTTTATTATAGGTATGTCTTTATATTTATTTGTTAAATGTGACTGTTGTGTTTTATGCAAAATGTTCATAATATTTTCAGTTCATATGTGAACTTTGATAATGTGGCAGTAGATGCTGTGTGACAGCCATGCTGTGGAGGTTGTATGTCTGCTGCAAGCCATCCACCTAAAGGGCTGTATTGTTTATTACACTAAAAGTATCAACTACGGATGCACCAATACCACTTTTTTTACAAACCGATATGAGTAAGAGTATTTTAATTTGTGTACTCACCAATACAGAGTACCGGTACCGATACTTCATAGATTTGGTTTCAAAGAAGTTATTTTTTTTGTTTTTTTGCCTGTAGCAAGGATAAACCAAAATCTGTAGAAGGCTGTTCCAAGCCAAAAATATACATAAGAAGGCTGTTCCAAGCCAAAAATATACATAAATTGTTGATAACCCTGCAAATCCAGACTTGGATTAACAGCAGGGGCCTGTTTCAGTAAGGAGGTTCAAACAACTCAGAGTTTAAACTTGAACTCTGAGTTGATTTACCGAGAGATTAAAAACTCAGAGTTTTCGGTTTCAGAACAGCTGATCTGAGTTGGGTCAATCAACTTCGAGTAGACCAACTCAGAGTTAAGCGCGCACACCGTGACTTTAAAAAGGCATTATCAATGGAGCGCAGACATTACGAGTGACTATGGCAATATCTTATAAAAGAGATCACCATTTCTTTCTCCAGCTGAACTTGATGTTCTCATGCAAAGTTATAGCAAATATGAGCGTATATATTTGAAAAGAAGCAACCATCAGTGAAGAGGAGACAGTTAGCGTGGGAAAACAGCTGCTCAAGTTAATGCCTAGTTTCACTTTTTAAGTATTTAAATATTTAAGTATAATAAAATAAGTAATGCAATTTGTGACGTTTATATTTTTTTTCTAAACTTTTTTTTATACATTTATTAGTTTTAAATGATTTAACAGTGCACTTGTGTGTCTGCCTTTTTTATTGATCAAGTGATAGAGGTTAATATAACATTTAGAAGGTAAGCAGTACTAAAAATAATTTTTAGAAAGAATAATAATCCCATTAATCTAGTTACAGTGCATGTCGAAGGTGAATTTAATTTAATTATTTATTAAAAAAGGATAAGCCATTCTAGTACAGTTCTTCTGTGTGTGACTAAAATGTAGGCAATAGCTATGTTTCCATGCAAATATATTACATAAATTTATGTGCAAAACTGGAATATTGCATAAAATTTGCGAATAAAATTCCATCCAACGAGTCAAAGAGAAAAAAATTGTCACTTCCTGATTAAACTGGCACCAAATATCAACAGTAAAAACAGAATTTTCTGTGGTAGAAGAAGCTGCGTCAATTAATTCTTTATTTAGCCTAATTAATGTACTTGCGCCTCGATGTCAGAAGACAATGCTGAAGCACAATAAACACGTGGGGGCGTCTGAAGCCATGAGACGCGGAGACTCTTGACATGCACCAGACGTTCGGAGGTAATTAATAATATACACTAATACTGAAACAGTTAAGGCATTTTAGAATGACTAAAACAATAATTAAGACATGTTACAGTGTGCCCGCCTGCTGGTTTGTCCATTTACACACATTTTCATTATCATATGATCATGATCTTTTTTTTAATGTACATACTGTAATTTGTTCAGTAAAAGTGTTTCCATCGTAGTTTATGCGCAGATTTTCTATCGAATAAAAGTTTATCCTACTCAGTTATGCACGTTTTTTATGCATATTTTTAAAAGTTATGTGCATCATGACGTTTCTATCAATCGTTTTTATGCACGTATCCAAAATGAGCATTAAAATAGGTGGGTGGAAACATAAGGCTAAGACGAGAAATACCGCTTCTTCTTTAAAAAAGGGGAGGAGACAGACAGAAACTCTGAGTTTAGAGAATAAAACCTGCTTCTGACCAGGTTAGATTCACAGTGTAAGTTACCACAGTAACTGACTCTGAGTTAAAGTTACCTCTCTTTCAGAAACAGGCTTGACTTACCCTGCTTTCTCGAGTTTAACAAACCTGCCATTTTGAAACGGAAAACCCAGAGTTTCTCTCATTTCAGGGTTAAAATACTCTGAGTTTTCAGTTAACCTCCTTTCTGAAACAGGCCCCAGGACTCGTAAAAATGGTTGGAAAGAATCACGCATAACAGGCATTTTTATCCAATGCCAAGAGAGTGACTCCATATGGTACTGTACAATGCACACACTTTGTGTAATGTGTAAAGTCGTGGACGCATGTCAGGATAACTAGTCCTTTAAATGTCCTTGCTTAATCCTTATTGAATAAGTAAAGTCAACTTAATGTTTCAAGTTACAACGGATTTACTCACAATTTGAAGTAAAGTCAATTTGTTGCTTATAAGTAGGCCCACACAAAATCTGCATGTACAGAAATCCCTTTTTTAGCCTGTAGTCTATTTTTTTACTTGTGTAAATGTGGGTAAATTTATATTTATTCAGTTAATAAATTAATTTCAGTAATATTATTGATTAACATGAAAATGTTTATTTGATTTATTTACAATACAGTTTGTAGTATATGAGAGACTTGCTTTGTTTAGCAAAGAAGTGGATCCAATTGCATTTGCATTGTAAAAACTAACAGTTAAAAAGCTATTATTTTTTTATTTCATATATTAAATTTTTAGTTATAATAATCTCAATATCATTCCACATTAATCAGCAGATTCTTTACAAAATTATGTGCAGAAATAGCAAAAAAGGCCACAGATTCTGTCTGGCCCTACTTATAAGGCAACGGGTTTACTCACTTTTTTAAAGTAAAGTAACTAACTGCTTTTTTTACAGTGTGAGATTAGATAAATTCATATGTTCATGAAAAATAATGACATGTATACTGTAATATTCCAGTAAGGTATTTTTTGTGGTATTTAACAACTGTTGTTAATGTCTAAAATCAGCTATTTCTTTAAACAATGTGTATTTCCGTAATATAATAAAATGACCAGTTTTTTTATTATCTTTTTAATGAAAATGAGAAGTGACTTATTTTTTAATGGAAAAAGAAAATAAATACAGAAACAACACAAAAGCTAAAACAATATAAAGAAAACCAATTCCACCTAAACAGCATTCCCTAAGCTTTGTGTTTATCTTCTCTGACCCTGACTCCAAATAAGAGACCAAATTGAATCTCGAAGCTCCGTGCGAAAACTTCTGTTGGAGTTGACATTTAAAGAAGAAAGCAAAACAGATTTGATCTAGCCAATATTGCTGGGAAGTGACTAGCGGCAGCACAACCCGATTTGCCTCAGGCTTGCAAGAGGGGAAAAAATTCATCTCAGAACTAGATGGTGTTTGTTTCTATCACTCTCTGCAAACTACTATGGTTATATTGCTTTGTACTGCTCATGCCCCATGCAGTCCTGATCTACGCCTCTGCACACGGTTTTAAGAAGCACATTGTTGAGCACTAGCGATCACGCTAACTTCAGTTAAGCTTTCCTAACTACTCTCACTGACAAAGAAGTTAATACTGTTTGCATCTTTGGCACAAAACTCGGAGACCACACAGTTTCATCACATGGCACATTTAAACGGTCAGGCAGTTTCGGTAGATACGAGGCTACGTTAGAAAAAAGAAAACAAACACTAAGAAATACCGAATGTAGCACCTTTTAGCCATTCCAGAAAGTACAAAGCGTTTCAAAAACGGGTTGCAGGTCTAGCTGCATATGTCTCCGTTTGTGTTTAAACCAAAAAGAAAAACTGCCGTAGTGTGAAAAGCTGTACAACACTGATGTTTTTTTTTTTTTTTTTTTTTGTGTACTTCTATCAAAAATACCTTGCTAGCAATATGTATCAGAGTGCTCTAAATGGGATATGGACCTGCCAGATCTTCAGAATCTGCTGTAAATTACATGCCATTTCAAAGCGGACATAATCTCTTCATGGCTTCTCTTGTACATTTTCATTTCCAGCTGTAACTGCATATCAGAAGGACTCCGTGAAGAGCGTTTGAGCTGCGCTTCAGATGTCATCTAAAGGGCAGATCCACAAAAGTAAGTCACTAAACCAGCAAAATACGCAAATGCCGTAAATGAAATCAAGATGATCTAGTTAGGAAACGGAAAATGGAAAACATTCATCACAGGTGCATTCCCTTGTACTCTCATTTCAATTTATAGAATACAAACAGCTGAATTAAAAACCTAAATCTATGGGCTGAGAGTGAGATTTACTGATAGATAAATCTTTCGTTGAAAGGCATTAAATAAATCATGAAATGATTATCTAATTAATAATTATTGATACTAAAATTTATGGATAAAAACAATTGATTTAATTTGGTATTAAAGCATGGTATATCTAATCAAAACTAATGAATTATTAATAACTTTTTTTGATAAAATACATTAATTTATTAATTTTCTTTCGGCTTAGTCCCTTCATTAATCAGGGGGCACCACAGCAGAATGAACCGACGACTTATCCAGCATGTTTTTTCCACAGCGGATGCCCTTACAGCTGCAACCCAGCACTGGGAAACATCAATACACACTCATTCGGACACATACACTACAGCCAATTCAGTTTTATTTAATTCACCTATACTGCGTGTTATTGTGCGCCAGTTACCCCCAAAGTCCAAGTAGGAAACTGACACGAACACAGGGAGAACATACAAACTCCACACAGAAATGCCAACTGGCCCAATAAAATGTACAGTTGGAGTCAAAATAATTTGCCTGATTTGTGAATCTTTGATCAGCGAGAAGATATTTTCAACACCGTTTAAACACAAAGAGCTCTATTGTAATGACCTAGGCGCAAAGTCTAAAGTGCATGGCGCAAAGTGTGATACACTATTGTTTATCCACAATAGTAATGTTTGTTTCGTTATTAATGTCTATTTAGTTATACATTGTTAAAAGTAATTTATTATCACTACTAATGACCGTGTTTGGAAAAAAATAACATCAGCAATTGAGAGAGCATGAGCTGTGGGTTACCATGGCGATACTCATTGTTTATTTCAGATGCTACTAAGTTGCGCCCGGGGAAAGACACTGACGTCTAAATGTGATTTTGTTTCTCCTGATTATTCAGGCACTTTTAATCTGCCTATGAGTTCCGCAACCTGGACAGCGTCATAGTGATGGACAGAGGCCAAGATGGTGGGGGTGCAGCCCCTGGTGGAGCTCAAGGTCTAGCTGGGCCTGACCAGCGTGGAACACGACTATACTGGGGCCAGCAGAGGAATGATCTTGTGGACCAGATGATATACAAGATGCAACGGCTGCGCAATGCTCTGCCTCTCGCCCGACCGGTGGAAACCGCATGGACTGGAGTACACCCTGATAGACTCACACCCCGTCAGCCCAATCGGCTAGGCTTTGGTCCAGCTGACAACAGGGAAGTGTTTGAGGCACTTGGAGGTGCTCAGCGGGTGTCACGTTCCATCCTGCGCCTAGTTGACATCGAGCCTTTCACACTGCAAGTAATGGAAAATCATGGACTCACAGATCAAGGTCTCATGACGGCGAGCTTTATCTGCTTTCTCCGCTTCAACCATGCAAGCTTGAGGAAGCAGCTGCTTATCCTTGAGGTCTTTATTCCTCGACTCCCAAATGACCAGATCCTCCCTCGGGATGAGGCTCGCAATGAGCTCCTCCTCTTACTCAACAACACAAACGTATTGAGGAATACTTTCTGGTTTGTTGATGGTCTTAACTATATCCGTCGGGCAGGCCAGAATGCACCTCAGGGTGCAGAAGTGTGGGATCTGGAGAACCACAGATGGAGACAGGGAACAACACTCACCGAACGCGTCCGGCTCTTGCATATCATCTCCGGACTGTTAATTAACGGAAGGTGTCGGGATATTGCTATCGGCACTATCATTCTGGCGAAAGTTGCGTTTGCTGTCCGTGGTACGATTTCCGCAACAAAGTTGACCCGCATAATAATGGAACTCACGCCTGCCATACCCTTCATAGGCGATGTCCTGAATATACCTGACCTCAAGCTCACATGGCTCAATTATGGCCATCTGGTTGATGATGAGGACATGCCTAGGATCATGCAGAAATGGCTGGGTCTCATACCAGCCTATGCCCTCCACTTGCGTGTAGTCTTGGCTCAGGCTTCGGAATCAGGACTAACCTCCTTAAATGTCATAACATGGGCGATAAATGAGCATCCGCATTTTCCCTGGGTCCTTGTCAGAAGGATGTATGCGGAACAATGGGACAATGCCCAACGTGCTATCCGTCTTGTCGAGAATAACCCGTATTATGGTTATCGCCGCGATTTGACAGCTGTCAGATCAACTCAATTCCGACATTTAGCGGCATTGTGTGGCAGACTCTTAATTGCCCTTGGTGACCGCTTATTAGAACGCTACCAAGGATTTGTGGATGACAAACTCCGAGTGCATGAATGGCGTCGTATGATTGATGCCTACGTCAATGCACATGGGAGAGAAGGCGCCAATATTGAACGTCCCATGAGTGAGGAAGAAATTGACCATCATGCTGACATGATGCAGTCGGTTTCCCAGTATCCCGCAAACATAGAGGTGTTGGCCAGGATAGATGGTCATCCTGATCGGCCTGATATTGGTCTACACGGTGGAGGCCCGCAATTCAGAGGAGGTCCCCGTCACCGGGTTAGGAGAGATGACGATGACAACGTCGGAGGTGGAGGCAAAGCAGGTGCTTACAATGGAGAAGAAATGTATGGGGAAGATCATTTCAGGCACCCTATAAATCAGGAATATGCAGAGTGCGGAGCTCAGGAGCGCCCAGCTATTGAGACTGAAGAGAGACCGGATCAGGCCTGCCGAGTGGCTGCTGATCAGCCACCAGCGGATGCATCAGTTGCTCCCGGAGCTAGTTGGGAGGTCAACGTAAATAGGGAGGAGGCCGGACTCAAACCTATTGTAGCACCACATGAGACCAGCCCACCCGAGCAGAGTGTCAACGAGATAGAAGATAACTTGTTCGTGCCACCCCCATTCTCTCCGGCACTATCCTCTGTCAAGCTCCGTCTGATAACTCAGACCCCCAGGACACCGAGACTAGCGCTGCATTATACACAAGTGGCTAATTTGGGGCCAGGATGCAACCCCGGTCAGCAGCTGCAGCTCGGCGGTCCTCCACGATTCAGCACACCCACACAACTGCAACAACATCGGCAGTCAGCTCTGCAATCATCTTACAGAGCTCCTGGATCTTCCACCACAAGAGGACAGCGACATTCTAGTTCAGCATTTCCTCCGCAGTGAATGGAAGGTGCGCACAGGACATGACTTAGGATTGTGGTCCGATGATGTGTGATTACATGTGACTTCTGAGTATTCTAATTGTTCCACATTATTTCCGTTTGACCTTTTTACTTTTACTCATTACTCCTTTACTTTTGTGGATAATGAATCCTTTCTTTTTTTTTGTCAAATAAGTTTTTTATTTGGTCGATGAATGAATAAACCTACAATAATCACAGATTCCAGGATTAGTTTTTTGAAATGCATACATTTACAAAAACAAAAGAAAACAAAACAAAATCAAACACCCCAAGCCCAGCCTGTAAGTATACAATACAGTGATAATCAAAACTTTTTAGTTACAATACGTTGCTTTGGAGGGAAGAATTCCCCATAAAGTGACAAAAGAAAGGGCCCCAATCTTCTGTAATTGCCCAATGTTGCCTTTTTAAAATAAATCTGTTACGTTCTAAGTGCTGAGTAGATTTCAATTGTTCAAGCCATAATTTGGCATTTTTCCAGTACAATAATAGCAGCTTTTTGGCTGTAATCTAATAATATGCAAGGAATTTCTGTTGTGCACTGCTCAATGAATATGTATAGTCAGAATTTCCAAATATAATAAGCAATGTGTCAGGATCTACATGTTGATCAAGAACATCTGAAAGCACTTTAAAACCTCATTCCAGAATCCCTGTATTTTATGACAGAATACAAAACTATGAGCTAAATCAGATTCTTCTGATTAGCACTTATCACAGATGGGAGATATATTGGGGAAAATCCTTTGTAATTTCTTTTTGGAGAAATGTAGCCTATGTAGGACCTTGAACTGGATGAGACATAGTCTAGTGTTGATTAATTGTTTATTAATATGCTCTAAGCTATTTTGCCAAATCTCTTCTGAAATTTCGATGCCAATCTCTTGTTCCCATTCTTCTCTGATTATCTTTGTAGTGGGGGCAGTAGCTGCAAATACCCTTTTATAAATTACAGATAATTGATGTTTGTGTCCCCTGAACCATGAGACAATCATCAGCAATTGAGGGCGGGACCTCCTCTAGGGAAACATTGTGTGTACGCAGGTAATTTCAATCATTCATTCATTTTCTTGTCGGCTTATTCCCTTTATTAATAGGGGGTCGCCACAGCAGAATGAACCGCCAACTTATCCAGCATGTTTTTACGCAGCGGATGCCCTTCCAGCCACAACCCATCTCTGGGAAACATCCACACACACTCGTACACTACAGACAATTTAGCCTACCCAATTCACCTATTCCTCAAGTCTTTGGACTGTGGGAGAAACCGGAGCACCCGGAGGAAACCCACGCGAACGCAGGGAGAACATGCAAACTCCACACAGAAACGCCAACTGAGCCGAGATTCGAACCAGCGACCTTCTTGCTGTGAAGCCACAGCACTACCTACTGTGCCACTGCGTTGGAAGGTTTTATTACTGTTGTAATTTAAGAAACCTAAAACCCCATCCATATAAAGGTCTTTAACTGTGCTTATACTCAATTTCTTCCATTGATTAAAGGTTGTATCTAATTTTGAAGGAAGAAATTATGGATTATTTGCAATTGGGATTAAGAGAGAAAGTGATTTTATTTTAAGATATTCTCTTAATTGTCTCCAAATACACAACTGATTCTTTATAACACTACTATTAACTACTGTTTGGTCTACTATCACTGGAGATAATAATATTAATGCAAGACCATAAGGATGGCAGTAATCTTGCTCTATCTGAAGCCAGTCTGAAGCAGTAGCCAACTGTTTCAACCATAATGTAAAAATTTGTATATGTGTAGCCCAGTGCTTAAAGAAGGACTTGGGTAATAGTGTTGGATTACGAAATAAATATAATATTTGAGGAAGAAAAATAATTTTTATCGTATTTATTCTGCCAATTACAGTGACTGGGAGTGTCTTCCAATGGTCTATACAAATTTGTACTTTAGACAATAAGGGTTTGAAATTAGCTTTCAAGAGTAGGGAGTATTTACAAGTAACTACAATTCCAAGGTCAACTATTTTTTTCTGTGGAAACTAATGAAGACGTATTATATGTATTATAGATGGATCTTTCAAACCAATAGGCATAAGTTCACTTTTTTCAAAATTAACTTTAAAGCCAGAAAACTTCCCAAAAGTATTAATAACCTTGAGTACAGCAGGGAGGCTCACTTGTGGTTGGGTGATTATAAAGCAAAATATCATCTGCATACAATGATATCTTATTAATAGTATTTGAAATATGAAAACCATGTATGCAAGAATCAGATTAAATGGCTTCTGCAAGGGGCTCTGCTGTTAATGTGTACAAAAGAAGCGAAAGAGGGCAACCCTGTCTGGTTCCTCTTTTAAGATAAAAAGAGTCTGAAATTGTTCTATTTGTTAAAACGTGCTAATGGACTACTGTACAAAATTTTTATCCAAATAATAAAATCATCTCCCAAATCAAATTTCTCAAGGACAGCAAACAAATATTCCCACTTTTCTCAGTCGAATGCCTTTTTGGCATCTCATGATATTAAAATCAAATCGTCTCGGATCTTGCTAAATTATTTTAAATAGACTTCTTAAATTATGGATAGTGTTTATTCCTGGAATAAATCAATTTCAGTCTATTTTAACCAATTTATTGATTAATTTACAGAGTCTATTAGCGAGTGTTTTAGACAATATTTTTTGATCAACATTGAGAAGAGATGTAGGTTAATATGCCTCAACTTCTTCTGGATGTTTATCTTTTTTAGGAATTACTGTAATAATAGCCTCAGAAAAGTTGGAGGTAGTGCAGATTTTAATACTTGTTGAAAAGTTTTAAGCTAAATTAAGTGTGTGGCTAAATTTTTTATATAGTTCAGCAGGCAGCCCATCTGGACCAGGAGTTTTACCGTGTTTTTTTTAAGTATTTATTGTGATCTTTAATTCCTCTATAGTAATGTTTTTATTAAGAGATGCTTTGTCCTCTGGAGATAACTTGGGGAGATGAGTCCATTGTTTGCGAGTCCAACTCAGTTTCTGAGGAATATAACTTTGAGTAAAACTCCTTAAAACATTTAATTATCTCTTTATTTGCTATACGGTGAGTCCAATGTTTGGTTTTTATTCCATGGATTGTTCCTTCACTATCGATTTTGCGCAACTGTCTAGCTAGTAATTTATGGGGTTTCTCTCCAAATCCACAATTTTTCTGTTTTACATGGTGAAATGTTCTATTCATTTTAGCAGAGACTATATTATTGTATTCATACCTTAACAGTAAAATTTTCTTACAAATATCTAAAAAGGGGTTTAGTGCAATTTCAATGTCGGTAGATTTGAATTTTCTAAATCATTTAGTTTTGTTTTGTATAGTTTGTTCTCAGACCCTTGATATGATAAAACACAACCTCTTATAAATGCTTTTAACGTTTTCCAGATTAATCCTGGTGATGTTTCTGGCTTATAGTTGTAATGAAAAAAAATGTCCAATTGTGAACTTATAATGTGGGGTCAGCGATTAAATGAGGGTCCATCCTTCACAAGGGACGAATAAAAGATGTTTGATCAAGAATGACTTCAAATGAAACAAGGGTGTGGTCTGAAATCAGTATGTCATGAATTGTAGAGTTTAGAACATTGGAAATGATATTGCTGTCTACTAAAAAAATCTATACGGGTATATACATTATGCACATGTGAGTGAAATGTATAATCTCTTTCAGTTTGGTACATAAGTCCCCATATGTCTACCAAATTAGAATTATTAAAAAAAACCATTCAAACAATTTCTTGAATTAGAATGTGGAGCAATTTTAATCGATGATCTGTCACGATATCCGTCAAGGACACAATTAAAGTCCACACCTATAACAAGATTTGTTTGGGACAGTTTGGGGATTAAAGAGAATATTTGTCTAAAAAACTTTGGTTTGTCATGGTTTGGACTGTACAAATTTATTAAAGTAATTGGGAGGCCATAAATCTCACCAAATAAAATGATGTAGCGTCCTTCCCTGTCTGTTTCCAGATTTTGTTTAAATTGAACCCCTTTTCTAAATAAAATAGCAACCCCCCTAAATTTAACTGAAAAATTAGATTTATACATCTATCCTATCCAGCTACCCTTCATATTTTTTTTTTTTTTGGAATCTTTTTTTAGATGAGTTTCCTGCAAAAATGTTATATCTGAGGAAAGAGACTTTAAATGTGCTATTGTCTTGCTTCTCCTAACCGGATGATTTAATCCTTAACATTTCATGAGATAAATTTGAGACCATTTCTTTTACATTAAGTTGTTATTTTTTTCTTGATTTAAAAAAGATCAATTCAATCATCTTCACTGTTTGTTTACTATAAGGTATCTTAAACAGGCTCCGTTCCCGAAACTAAAACATTAACCCCGTCATCTAACCGACAAACCACTCGCGGCATGGAATTACACACACACACACACACGCACACACATACAAAAAATGTAAGTAAATAAGAAACATTAGTCAAAAACAAACTAACAATTTCAAAAATATCAAACCTAAACTTCCAAAAACAATCACACAGCAGCAGCACAGCTCCGTAATAAAGAGTTTCAGAAGAACAACTCAGTATAACATACTGAAACAAGAGTCCTTTAGAGAGTAATGCTCAAAGTTGAAATTCAAAAGTCAAGTTATTCTTATCTTGACTTATCTTGAGTCCGACATTCTTTACACTGGTCCTGTTTTTTTTAAAGTTGCTTTCAGCAAACCTAACCTCTTTGCCGTCGTGTGATACCTTCTGTTTAGCAGAGTATTGCAGTCCATATTTCCCTCCTGGTTGAAAAGTGCGCGTCGCTTTACCACAGCAGGTGGATTGTTCTGAAAGATGTTAATTCTTTGTGCCTTGAAGGCAATCTGTTGCATCCTAGCCAACTTTTGCATTATTTCTTCCATCTTGTGAACATCATGCAGGCACAAAATGAAAGCACGAAGTGGTTTATCATTTCCAGGACGGGCACGATCAACAAGTGGAGGTTTCACTAATAACAAGGCTTCTGTCAGGAGATGGACAGCGAAATCTCTAGACTTCACTCCGAATTCAGCACCCTCTTTCATGTTCAGTGTGTGGATATTTTACCTTCAGCTGTGGCTTTCGAGGTCTATGCATTTTTCAGTAAGTTGCTCCACGCTGAGCTTCAGTTTTACCAGATCTTGTTCCATCTTAACCATTGTGTCCGACAAAGTGGAAGTGTAACTTTCCAGGCTT